TTTTATTCCTACTTTGCTGAATTAATTCTAGGTTTCTTTTTTTATGACTGGATATTGACTTTTATCTGCAACATTTCTGCATCTACCAAGATGATTACAGGATTTTATTCCTTTGTATTGTAAATGAAGTAAATTCCAATGTTGATTTTTGAGTGCCAAACCAACCCTTGCTTTTAGATAATTGACCCAATATGCTATTTATTTATTGCAATTTTCACTTTGCTAATTTATTTTAAGTCTTTTGTATCTATAGTCATAAACTATTGGCCTGTAATTTTTCTTTCTTGGAATGATCTTCTCCAATTTTGTTATCTAAGTTGTGCCTTTTCTATAAAATGTATGGAAACTTGTCTTGCTTTTTTTCTGATATCAAGAAAGCTCGTGTAAAATTAGTTAATTTTACCAGAGCATGTTATATTTTTCCACGTAAGGCTACTGGCCTTGAGTTTTTTGGTGAGTAAGTTTTAATTATGGATTCAAAATCTTTAAGAGTTATAAAATCATTCAAATTTTCTATTTCTTTTTGTGGCAATTTTTCTAGGAATTTGGTCATATCATCTCAATTTTCAAATTAATTAGCATAAAATTTTAGTAGGAACTTCCTCTTTTTATCCTTCCAATGTCTATAACACCTGAAACAAAGTACCCTTTTTCCTCCTATTATTTATTTTTTGTGCCTTTACCTAATTTTGTGATCAATATTAATAGTTTTTAAAGGTCTTTTCAAGTGACCAAACTACTGTTAGATCAACCTTCTCTATTGTATTTTTTTGTCTATTTTGATGTTTGCTCTTACATTTATTCTTTTCTTATTTACTCTTTTCTTGCTTCTATGTTCTTTAGGTTGAGCTTGATTTTTTTAAACTTAAAATTGATGAGCTCATGATTTTTAACCTTCTCTTCTTACACATTATAGGCAAGGAATTTCCCTCTAAACACAAAGTTAGTGGCATCCCATCAGCTATTTAAACACGGAGTTTTGGTATGGAGTATTTTTATTATTGTCATATTCAAAATATTTTATTTCTCTTGTGATTTGCTTTGATCCATGCCTTAATAGACTTGCAATTATTGATTTCTAAGCACATGAAGATTATCTAGTTTTCTTAGTCCTATCCTCATTTGGCAAGCTCTGGGCCTTAATTTTTATAGCCACTTGACCTTTGAAGACTTTCAAAAGCATTACTCAGTTTCTCAGTCTCTTGGCTTCCTTATGATAAATTGGCATTTATTCCTCTGGGAAAAGTAGTTCTAAATAAAAGGTCACATTTATGAGGGGTTTTTTGTGTTTTGTTTTTTTTCCTTTGAGATCTTGGTCTTCTCATTTTTACTGCCTCTTCAGCTCTTAAAAGCATTATATGTTCAATTTTTCTAGTTGCTCTCAGGAGGATTATTCAGAATTACCAAAATTGGAAGTCAAGACACCCATTACTTTTAGCATTTAATTTGTAAGTGCAGATATCAAATAAAATATTTTATTTAGATTCTCCAAAAATATTTGAATTACCCAAAGCACAGATTATATGCCATGTTAAAGAAATCTCAACAAATATTCTTTCATATAAGTGATATCAACTCTATTAAAGATTTAACTTTATGAAACTAACCTTCAATAAGCCTTTTCAGTCATTAATTTTTTGTTCCATTTTTGGTATGCACATCTTTCCATCTTTAGCTATCATTTTGTTCATATTTTATTATTTTTTCAATTAGTCATTTTGTCCAGGATGTTGCCATGTAGATTTAAAAATATTTTCTTATGCTTTATCTTTTAAAAGTCAGGTGAACGTTTTTCTTGAAGCAGTAAATATCTGAAATACATTATAATTGCTTTTGAAAAATGTGTGTCAGATATCAGAGGTTAGCTCAGGACATAGCCAAAGGGTATATTTGAACTACACTGAAAATTTAGATATTACACAGTGAAAAATAATGATTGGCATAAAAATCTGCCTGATAGTATAATTAATTGAGTCCTGTTAAGTCATTAACATATTGATGGATCTACACAAATCCAGTATTATATCTCCTTATTTTATTTTTAATATTAGCATAAGCCTAATTTCTTTTTAAATAAATCTTTATTGTTCTGATTATTACAGTTGTTCCTCCCTCCCCCCATAGCTCCCCTCTACCCAGTTCCCACCCCACCCTCTGCCCTTACCCCACCTACTGTCCTCATCCATAGGTGTACGATTTTTGTCCAGTCTCTTCCCACACCCCCCACACCCCTTTTCCCCCCGAGAATTATCAGCCCACTCCCTTTCTATGCCCTGATTCTATTATATTCACTAGTTTACTCTGTTCATCAGATTTTTTATTCACTTGATTTTTAGATTCACTTGTTGATAAATATGTATTTGTTGTTCATAATTTTTATCTTTACCTTTTCCTTCTTCCTCTTCTTAAAGAATAGCCTAATTTCTTTTAAAAGTACTATTAATTTTATATAAAACATATATTAATTCAATAAATATTTACCTACGTGATAAGGGACAGAAACTGTTCCTATATAAGAAACTATATAATAAAGGGGGAAAATAAACAAAAAGATATAAAATATGGAAAGATATGATTTTTTAAAGATAAGGATATTGCCAAGAAACCAGAAACACCAATCAGAAAGGATATATGCACCCCTGTGTTCATAGCAGCACAATTTACAATAGCTAAGATTTAGAAATAGCCGAAGTGCCCATCAGCAGATGAGTGGATTAAAAAACAATGGTACATCTACACAATGGAATACTATGCTGCTGTAAAAAAGAAGGAATTCTTACCATTTGCAACAGCATGGATGGAACTGGAGAGCATTATGCTAAGCAAAATAAGCCAGTTGGAGAGAGATAAATATCACATGATCTCACTCATATGTGAGATATAATGATCAACATAAACTAATGAACAAAAATAGATCCAGAAACAAATGGCAGGGGAGTTGGAAGGGTTGGATTAGAAAGCAACCAAAGAACTTGTATGCATGAATATTAGCATAACCAATTAACACAGACACTGGGGCAGTGGGGGCTTGCCTGGGGTGGGAAAAGGAGACATATGTAAAACTTTATACAATAATAAAAAAAATAAATAAATAAATGATAAGGAGATTGCAAATATGGGGCTGTGGGGAGTTATTTTCAATATATTGGTAATAAAGTGTTTGTGAGGAAGTATTATTATTATTTGAGCAGAAACTTCAATAAATAAATGGAAAAGTCATTTTAAAATTAAAAAAAGATAATTCCTTGCATAAAACATTGCAAGGGCAAGGGTCCTATGACAGAATTCAACATAGAAGAATTGCAAGAAGGTTATCAAGATAATAAATAAGATAAAAGGTCAGGAAGTTGACCTTACTAGTATATTAGGTCATGTAGGCACTGGTATGCTTTGATAGAGATTTTGGATTTTTTTTTCTTTTCAAGAGTGATGGCAATCCACTGGGGAATTGATTAGGGGAATACTATGATCACATTCTCATTTTTAAAGTATATGGAAGGAGACTTGACTTGGGGGAGTCAGCATACAATACCATGTACAGATGATGTGTTGTATAATTGTGCACCTGAAACCTGTATAATTTTGTTAACCAGTGTCACCCCAATAAGTTCAATTAAATATATATGTATATTTTTAAATGTGCACCATGGTGATAGAATTGGGAGTGGTAGTTCCCAGGATGTAAATGGTGAATCATTTAAATGGTGTAGCAGTACAGTCAAAGAAAATGTGATAGAACTGGAATTGATGAGATGAGGTAGGATTTGGTATGTAATTTGAAGGTAAAGGTGACTGGACTTGCTATTGGATGGGATGTTGGAAAATTCCTAAGTATTTGGTCTAAGCAAGAGAGTGAAGGATGGTGCTATTCCTTGAGACAGTATGGACTGGAGTGTGATTTTAGGAGTGAAAATAAAGTTTTGTTTTAAATGTAATGTCTAAAATATCCATTAGATTCCAAGTGGAAATCATGTAAACATTTGTCTATAGCTTTCTGGAGCAGCGGTTCTCAACATGTGGGTCACGACCCCTTTGGGTGTCAAACGACCTTTTCAAAGGGGTGGCCTAAGACCATCGGAAAACACATATATAATTACATATTGTTTTGTGATTAATCACTATGCTTTATTATGTTCAATTTGTAACAATGAAAATACATCCTGCATATCAGATATTTACGTTATGATTCATAACAGTAGCAAAATTACAGTTATGAAATAGAAACGAAAATAATTTTATGTTTGGGGGTCACCACAACATGAGGAACTGTATTAAAGGGTTGCGGCATGAGGAAGGTTGAGAACCACTGTTCTAGAGAGAGTGGAGCTTGAGTGTTATCAAAGTATACTGTGATGATATTCAAAGTCAGGGGACTTGAGATTAGTTGAAGTAGAAATGTGGACAGAGAACAGATGAAATCTAGAGACAAAGCCCAAAGGCACTCCAACGTTTAGAAGATAGGAAGATTCTACAAGATCATAAAGAGTAACTAGTCAAGTAGGAGAACAAACCATATGCGATGCTGCTGAAGCCAATACTAATATATGTGATCCCAAGATCATTGGTAACCTACGATCCTAGGGAACTTAGCAATAAAAAAAAATTTGATATTACTTATTGAACTAGAAGTCTAAAAAAGTTGTATTAAACAGAAGCATAATAGTATTTATATCACCTAACTAGTGAATAATTAAGTGTATATCTGGTTATAATAAGAGGATAATTAATTCTAGGGTTGAACAAAAAGATGGAAGGAATATCATTTAAACATATTATACTAAATGTTTATCATGCTTCTTTTGACTGGATCACACATAGTCTCATAAAAGAGAATTAAATATGAAGTAATGAACATAAGCAAAATACTGAGATCTTTGCTGATGTTATGTGCAAAGATTTCTCACTGCTTAAGAATTAACTTGATATTGAATGTGTATGACCTCAGAATTCTCAATAAATACTTGCTGATGTTCTCTTATTCTCTTTGCTTCTTTCCACAGGTGGGGAGGTTCCATACACAACTCTGGCTACCCGAATGATGATGGGGGCTTGGTGGCTATTTGCTTTGATTGTCATCTCATCTTATACAGCAAACCTTGCTGCTTTCCTCACTATCACCCGCATTGAAAGCTCCATCCAGTAAGTAGACAAAGATTCCAGCAGCCACAAAGCATGATAAATGACAGGAGTGCCAAAGCATTTAATACATACATGGCTTCTAATAATGAATTTATGACTTCTTTTTGAGTAAATGATTAATTTTGTGATATATAGATATCAGAAGATAGTCCAACTCCTAAAAATATAGAATTAGTAGAGGTTTTTTACAAAATAAAATTATGGGAATAATTTGAACATTGCTTCCCACATTTTTCTGAAAGGATAACAGATATTCAGAATTTGAAACTCTAAAATATATGACTATGTCTGGGCAACATTGTAAAAATGAAGGAACAAGGAGTAATACTAATATATATATACTTGATATACATATCAAGTTTAACACTATCAATCATTGCCTTGAGTCTGTCTCATTATTCACAGTCTGAGTAAAGAGACAAACATTAGATGACTAATTGATAGGTTGATGATAAGTAGAAAAAGAGATGGAGTAAGGGGGAGGAGAGAGGAAAAGAGAGAAGCTATCCAGATATAAAACGACTTTCTATTTATTTATTCACTGCATTATACCTAACTAGAGGCCCGGTGCACAAAATTCATGCACTCAGAGGGGGTCCCTCAGCCCGGCCTGTGCCCTCTCGCAGTCCTGAAGCCCTTGGGGGATGTCTGACTGATGGCTTAGGCCTGCTTCCTGTGGGCCAGCTTAAGCCATCAGTCAGATATCCTTAGCACTGCTGTGGAGGCGGGAGAGGCTCCTGCCACTGCCACTGCACTCTCCAGTGGTGAGCCTGGCTTCTGGCTGAGTGGTGCTCCCGCTGTGGGAGTGCACTGACCACCAGGGGGCAGCTCCTGTATTGAGCGTCTGCCCCCTGAGGGTCAGTGCACATCATAGCAACTGGTTGTTCTGCTATTAGGTCGATTTGCATATTAACCTTTTTTATATAGGATATGGCCATTAAAACTGCTCTTTTCCCAGCTATAATTGTGGTAAATTGTCATTAACTATGATGCACTCACTTAAATCCTAAAAGTTACCTAAGTCAATATTCTATATATTATTTTAACAAAATTTTCCTGAAAATGGTTTATTCATTCAAAGACAAGGTAGTTTGACTTTTCCTAAGTTGAAGCGCATTCATTTCTCAACAAAACCAACAATTCAAAATTAGAATAATCAGATTGATCAAGGAATTCATGGGGATTTAAGTTATTTTTAAAATAAAACATATGAGTTCTTATCTTAAAAATATGTAAATGAAGTTTATTAGTCACAAACTATTATGTAATATAGACAATAATAAAAATAAAGTTGAGAATTATTGATCTCTAAAGAACTAAGAAAGGTATTTTAATTGTGGTATACAAAATTAAATCCCAAAGTCAACTAATAATGACAATAGACAGTAAATTTTTTCATCCATTTACAAAAATGGTATTTCCAACTTCTCTCATAAATTCATGCTCTTCAAATTGTTTTCACATTTTTGTCTTTGATGCAAAATCTCATACTCTAAATTTATTATCCTTATGGCCAGTTCTATATGTGACATCTATGTATACAAAAGCCTAAATGACCATTAACGGGGAATAACTGGAAAGACTGGTCGCTGTGATGCACACTGAGCAGGCAGGCAGGTAAGCGGTGAGGTGTGAGCAGGCAGGCAGGCGAGCAGTTAGGGGCAAGCAGGCAGGCAGGTGAGCAGTTAGGGGTGAGCAGGCAGGCAGGCAAGTGAGCAGTTAGGGGCAAGTGGTCCTGGATTGCGAGAGGGATGTCCGACTGCCAGATGTCTGACTGCAGGGACTGGGCCTAAACTGGCAGTCAGACATCACCTGAGGGGTCCCAGATTGTGAGAGGGTGCAGGCCAGGCTGAGGGACACCCCCACCCCATGCACAAATTTCATGCACTGCGCCTCTAGTAAGTTATAGAACTGATGATCCCATCAAAATCATATTTTTTTAAATATGTGTATGTGTTTGTGTGTGTATACACAAACTGATGATCCCATCAGAATCGTATTTTTTAAATATATCTATATATTAGAAGCCCGTTGCACAAAGATTTGCGCAATAGGACTTCCTTCCCCTGGCTGCCAGAACCGGTTTTCCTCTGGCACCCGGGACCCAGGCCTTTGGTCCTGCCACAGCAGAGAAGCCAAACATCAATGATGAGAAAGAATCATTGACTGGTTGGTTACCTTCTGCATGTCCCACACTAGATTTCATGCACTGCACCTAGGCATGTGCCCTGACTGGGAATCAAACCATGATCCTCCTGTTCATAGGTCAATGCTCAACCACTGAGCCATGCCAACCAGGCCAGAATCATATTTTAAGCAATAATGAAAAGTACTACAACCACCCTCCCAAGAAATCAATGAAATTAGTAAAATTATGAAAATAATAATTGCTATTTATTTAACATTCACAAGATGCCAGACTGTGCTAAATGTTTAACATGCATTGGCTCATTTAATATTTACAACCATCTTCTGAACTACATGCTGTTAATAACCTATTTTACAACTGAAGTTGAAAAGATAAGTAACTTGAACTAAATCAGGCAGCTAATAAATTATTAATTAAAGACCAAACCTAAAACCTTTCTGATTCTAAAGCTTATGGTTTAAATGTACCACACCAGTTCCCATCCCACACCTTAGCAGCGGTTCTCAACCTGTGGGTCGCGACCCCTTTGACGGTTGAATGATCCTTTCACAGGGGTCTTCTAAGGCCATCTTGCATATCAGATATTTACATTACGATTCATAACAGTAGCAACATTACAGTTATGAAGTAGCAACGAAAATAATTTTATGGTTGGGTCACAACATGAGGAACTGTATTTAAAGGGCCAGAAGGTTGAGAACCACTACATAGGATGGGCCAGTTGTTTTTAAAGAATATCATTAAAGGTGTGCCATAGACATATTTATTGCTAAGTATAGGGATATAAATGATTGTATTCTTAAATCCACAATTGGTCTGAGGAAATAGAGTACTGAAAGTTAGGAGATTTTTGTGTTGGGCCAATTTTATGGGCATATACCCCAACATGAGCAGATTATATTTATAATTGATATCTGCCATTCAAGGTAAGATTGCTTGGTAGATCCAATAATAGAAATGACACTAAGAATAGTAATCTTAAAACTTTAGAGTATTTCATCTCACCAATATATTGCATATCAATTATGTTTAGTTTGTCATATTTTGAGTGTACTTAAAACTAAAAACCTATAGCTCAGATCTGATTTTGAAGCACTTTTAAATAAGTGAAGAAAATTTTAAATAAAAAAATTGATTTTATACAGTAAATGACAATAATAATAAACACAAGTTATAGTTAAGATTCACTGGTAATTTACCATGAATTTATTAAGCATATATTTTTCCCATTTATTCCTTAAAATAACTAGTAATACAGATACTATTTTGATTGCAAAAGAAACAAACATCATAAGTTAAATGCCCAAGATCACATTGTCAGTAGTGTCAGAGGTGGAAATCTAACCCATATCAATTCAATACTAATCTGTAGCCATATCTACTGAAGTTTTTCCTTATCTAGTTGTTCTGACAGTTTGTTTGCTTGAGTCACTGTTTCATGAGGTTGTAAACCTCATGGTGCGTGCACGTGTATGAACTAGTTAGTCATTACTAACGTTGCCAGCGTTAGTTTGTATTTAGACTTTCATGCAATCGCAGTGGGAGCAAAAGCCTCTATCAGATTTTTGCACCCAAGTGGGTTTTTCTGAAAATAAACCTAATGAGGGAAAATCGTAATTTCACATGATGTTTTCCTCAAGTGTAGTTTCATAGTTTAAGATAACTGATTATTCATTTTTTAAAAACATTTCTTTCTAATGCTACTCACATTATTAAAAGTCAACAGTGGGTATGATAAATCTTTCCTTCCTTCTAATCTTATCACTAGACTAATTTCAAAAGAGGGGAAATCAAAGCCAAATAAGTTAAAGAAGCCTAATTCTCTTCCCCAACTTGAAGGCATCTTCTAATTTCATGCCTCAGCTGTTTTGGTAAACATAATTGCTTTCAATGTTTCTTGGAAACATTCAAAGTTCCATCTGCATCTAATATCAAATTTTCTTGGAAAATTGTTAAGTGTGATTTTTCTTAGAAAAGACAAAAACTTTTTTATAATACCATTCAATGTCATGCTTCCTAATCATTTATAGTCATAAGATTTGCCCATCACTAAATGAAGCAATACTTGCCAGTGTACCTTTTTCCAGCCCAATTTTGCTCTGCAATTTAGCACATATACACAAATTGCATTTTCATCCCCCAAACTCAAAGTCATTTTTCCAGACTAGAAGAGATAGAGGTGATCACAGAGACGTGAGTGAGAGGAGGAGGAAAGCAGCTACTTTTGAACAGTTGGTTGACAGAAAGCCATAGTTTGCTGGGAGCAATTCAATTTATTTATTCTTGGGAAGCTTAATACATTTTATAAAATGTACCCCTTTTGCAAAACTAGATCTTTATAGGCATCTACCCTTCTGGTTGACATTTGTCATTAATAGAAGTTTTGAAGGTGTATTTTCCCTGAAAAAGAGACCTCAAGTTTAATTTCATATCCCTTCAATGATAGGGGCAGCTCAACATAACTATGACAGATTGTGACCGTTGGGGATGGGTAGTATTGGGTGCCCAGTTCAGTTTCAAGGGGAAAATATGCAATTTCTACAAGACTCTAATGACACAAGCTTTTTCATTGTCATTGAACAGTAAGAATGTATAGCAAAATTGTTTTCAAATACCTAGGAAATGGAATGCCCTTTTTAGAATGTATAGCAAAATTGTTTTCAAATACCTAGAAAATGGAATGCCCTGTTGGGCATTTCTGTTGGTAACCAGGTTAAAGGCTGCAGTGGTGAAATGGAGCATGTGAAGCTTTGAAGGAATTTTCAGATTAGACACTGGGGAATAACATCTATAGCAGCTCCTTTAGTTTTTGTTGTGATGCAATTTTCAAAAACCGTATAAAAGTGAAAAT